CCCCCCCCCCCCCCCGCCCTTCCCCCTTAGCTTGAGCTTGATACTAAACCAGGTGGTGGGTTTATTGAGCGTGTGTAAACGGTCTTCCCTCTCAAGTCCTGCTGGCCACTTCCCAAGACCAAGGCATGAGTGGCACAAGACCTGACAGATGCCACTGTTCAACAAAGCTCTGAGGAGATTGCCAAAGCAGTTTAAAGGAAAAGTCTACACGAGTCTTGCTGGGACAGTCTCTTTTTCTGTAGGTGTTTTCTGTGAAATGGTAAAGATTTTGTTGAAGCTTGCCCCTCACCCTCCCCAAATAAAACAAAACCAAAAACCCCCAAAATAAACTATCTCAGCCTGAGGAAAATGTTGACTGTAAGTGATGTGAGATGAAGAGATCAAAATCTGATTTAAAAGTGCAACTGAAAGTAGTCCTGTAATATGAATAACATAGTGACAGACAGTGCTACAGAAATAGATAGGAAGTGCCAGATAACAGATAACACAAAAAGGCAAATTTGTCTCTATAGTTGTAACTATGTTTAATATCTGTGTTCTGAATTTGAACTTTCCATTACTATCTTACCAGTCTCCCTCTTTTCCTCCTCATTACATGTTAGTCTTTTGTCTGCTGCCACACTTACTACTCACCTGTTCCTCTTATCTCATGTTACAAATGCAATTGTCAGTCCTCATACAGGACTGTGACACACTGTTTCCCTTTGCCAGGCTGAAGACCTAGCGCTTACTCTGAGCGTGATGGCTATTTTCTAATCCATCAGTGTTTTGCCATTCACAGTATCTGTTTCAGAAGGGGAGTTTGATTATAGTCTTCTGAAAAGACTGAATAAATTAACTGGCTCTCTTATTTACAGTTTTATTAGGACATTTAGAAACTGACAAGGATTGAGATGGACGAATCAAATCTGTTTGGAGGGAATTAAAATTTGCTTGCTTTTAGTACTTTTGAGTTTGAAGGACCAGTTCTTACATGTATTGCAGGAAACCCTTTTCCTGTTTGTGTCTCTGAGCTTCTGCCCATGATCAGAGTCCTGGTCACTGGGTTACTTCAGAAAGAACACATCTCGTGCCTGTGATCAGTTTTTCCTTTACTTAGGCAACTCTCCTTATCGTGTCCCTTGCTCTCTTTCTGAAGCCAAACAAAGTATCCTGTTATTGATGTGGGTAAGAAATAACAATACAAGAGAAATCAGCTGGCTTCATGTTTCTGCTACTACATGCTCTGGAACTAGGAGAAGCTCTTAAAGTTCTCAGCCCAAGAGAGAGGAAAGCATGAAGTGTGTCCTGCTCTTGGGGTAGCTGTGTAACTGTTCTGCACAGAAAGACAGAGATGTTCCTTTTAGCTGATTTTCTGTAGCGCTCCACTTCATCACCAGTTTACCTCTAGAGCCTACCACCCAAAGCTACAGCTGATGAATACTAAAGGCAGTTGTCCCATGCTTTGACTGTCTACAGCCCTCCTTATTCCAGGTCTAGGTGTGATTGCTCAGGCTGGCAGCTCCCTCTAGCCCTCTTCAAGGTATCCGTAGTAGATACTATTTACCAAAGGTGCTGCACTGTGCATTGGAGTTGTCTGAGTAAAGTGGGTGCAAGCAAGGCTTGTACTGCAGCAGGCCTCATGGGGAAGGAGAGGGAAAAGTCCACGCTGCCTTGCAGCCATAAACCGTATCCAATATTCAGAGGGTGTGCAGAGGAGCAAGCAAGATGTCTGTATTTTGGGTCAGAGAGAAGGTTGAGGAAGGAAGGAAAAGAGAATGAGGGGACAAGTAAGAGATGACGGTCAATGGTGTAAGAGAAGAACCTCTAAAGTTGCAGAAAGTGATGGGAGAAGCCAGCAGGAGCCCATGGGGGGGACAAGCCATGTGGCCCACCTAAAGCTGGGGATGGGGAAAGGATAGGGACAGGGGAAAGACACATCCTCCCATTCTGGGAGACTTGAGATAGGTCTGCTACTGTAACAAAACTGAGAAAGAGGGTCTACGTATACCGAATATATATGCCTATGAGTTTCCCTTTCCAAGCTTACCCCCAGGTCCAGCAGTGTTTCTGATTGTTTTGTAGAGGCTTTATATCAACAGCAGATACAGAGAAAGCAGAAGCATCCAGTGACACGCTGGAAGGGAGGAAGACACCGACTCTGCGTTCAGGTTCACCAGCTTCAAGTTGGTCCCCCTTGTAATGCTGAAATCTGTAGCAGAATAATAGTGGGAAGTTACCAGAATGGGGGGGGAACACAGCAGGGAAGGCAAAATGAGTGTGTATGTTTATTCCTCCCCATTTTTCTGAATATTCGTAAAGATAGACCCTGCCTCTGGTGCTGGAGACCTGCTGCTATAAAGCCCTCGCTGTAGAAGAGCTATGACCCTTCTCACATAGAACAGGAAAAGACATCCTGAATTTTTGGAAAGTTTGCTTTCCTGTGAATAAGGTGGCCTTTCAAATAAAGGGGATGGGCTTGGGTCAGAGAGATTGTCATTAGTAATAGCTAAAGGGGCCTAAGCTGAACTGGCTAAAGAAAGTGTCAAAAGTTGGGGTTTTTCATTGGTTCATTTGTTTTTGGTTAACATTCAAAGGAGTACATTCTTTCAAAGCGTGTCCTTCCTTCCTTCCTTCCTTCCTTTCTATTCCCTGGTTGTTCTGCCCCATGCCAAGGGAGCAATCGTTACCATGAAAAACATGTCCTGAAACAGCAGGACCAAACACAGACCCTTTCCTTCATCCCAGGGACAGAGAGAGATGTGCTTGGATTAGCCATGGATTTCAGTTCCCTCCTCAACCGACACAGGTGCTGCAGGAGCCCCCCGATGCACACAAGCTCATTGTTTAAAATCTGTTCCCCCATGTCTCTGGGTGGTGTTAAACTCTACCTGTCACTTTGATGTTGCCTGTAGCCTTGGCAATGTTGTTTTCAATCACGCAGGTGTAGGTGGTGTTAACAGTAATGTTGTGCAGAAAGGAAACCACTTTCAGAGTGATGTTTTCTGCGTTCAGCTCGTAGCTGGTGTTGGCGACGTGAGGTAGGTACTCCCCAGTGTCGCTGTAGGCTGTCCAGTGCACGGTGGGTCGAGGGAACCAGCGCGGTGCTTCGCACTGCAGTGTGTCCCCACTGCTGCTGTTCTCCACATGGACCTTGGGGGTGCTGAAGGCTTTGGGAGGAAAAATAGGGAGAGAGTCAGAAAACAGCAAATTTCTAGGAACTGGGCGTGAAACACCCAACTGCATCTGCCGGTCAGTCCCAAGTATTTCTCGAGTACTTGCTGCCCAGCACTGCATGTAGCCAAACCAAACACAGAGGCTCAGACAGAGGTCTGTATAGGTTGGGCTACAGGGGGATGATTACAGGGGCTCTAAAGACTCCTAGGACAAGGCAGTCCAGTTTGGCAAGATCTGCTGAGGTCATGGCACAGCTTTAGTGTCTTTAAATAATTCTGCTTAACAGTTACGAGCTGTGTCCTGGGCTCATAAACTCAGCTCCCAGAGGAGACTGAGCTCAGGACCTGGCCAGCCTGAGACTGCTCACGTCTGCTGAACGCCTGGCCTCCCTGGGCAGGAATCGCAGCAGGCACAGCTCTGCTCATCTCCGCTGAAGATGGGGTGGCCAAAAGGAGGCAGCTGCTATTCTCAGCAGGGAGAGGCATGCCGAAAATGATTGCTCTTATCAGAGGCTGGGGGAAGGGGAAGATGACTCAGCCTCTCCGCTGACTGAGAAGGGAGCCTGACCAACAGCTATGGCTTTATGATGTGACTCTCAACACTGAATGGGCTGCAGCCAAGGGAAGCTCCACCTGCACCTGCTGGGGCTGAGGGCAGACTAAGGCATGGCCTGAGCTGCAGGATTTACGCCAACATCCCTAGATTAAATGAAACGTTTAAAGCCCATTGCAAACTCAGCCGTGTTTTAAAGCCAAAGCCATCTCAAATAAATTTTTTTAGTCTTGCTCTCCTAGAAAAACATATCTCTGTATATTCAGTTTTTTAGGAGAGCAGAGTTCACCAATTTCAATGGAAATAAAACCTAATGCAGCATTTCACATGTTTTGTCTAATGCCTTTTCTGTGTGGATTACCTTAACTATTGAATCAATCAATGCAAAAGCAGGCAGATTCACAAAGTTTCAAGGAGGGGTAGGACACCAAATCCCCATGGGAATTAAGCACACTTCAGGCATGAGCCAAAGCCCTCTGGCCTTGCTGTTACCTACTGTCATCCCAAGCAGTTCTTCCATCCTTGCCATTGCAAGATAAGGGGCCTGTGAGCCCAGCACCCTTTTCTTTCACTGCTTGGGAAAGTGCTTCACATCATAGCAACAGGGCAGAAAACATGCTTTCAATAAGAAAAAGGAGACTGTGAAACAACACTGGCCAGACATTCCTGTGATGCCAACTCTTGTATTGCCTTTCTGTCCTGGGTTGGGCTCCCTGTGGGTGACACGGGGAAGTGGCTGCATCTCCCAGACATCTGTCACGAGCGTCTGCACAGAAGCTGGTGCCTACCTCCTGGTGCTTTGAGTCTGCTGGGCCAAAGGAGGAGACCGGACCTGAAGAAAAGCAGCCTGTCTCATTCAAGAGCTCTGCTGGTTACTACTGTCCTGCCATGACTGGCCTGAAGCAGAGGACACCCTCTCCGTGCTGCCCATATGGCTGGCCTCACCACATAAGTGGTCAGCCATCCTAAAACTGCATTTCCTTGACTTGGAGAGGTCTGACAGTTTTTCCTCCCCCAACTTGAGCTGTTGGGATCAAGGGATGTGCCGGGACCTCAGGGATGCCAACAAAAGCCAGCCAGAGAAATACTAAGACTACCTACCTGTGCAGACTCATGTTGTCCATATTATCCATATCCATTATGTATAGTCAGCGTAACTCACCACAATTTCATTAGAAAGACCCAGAGGTGCCAGAAATGGGTGAAACGCTGCCAAGTTCAGAAAGCAGGAGCATATTGCTTTGTGCCAGCGATGAATGTGATGGCCAAGCCCAGAGGGCTCAGAACAATTAAGCACCCACAAGTGAAAATTCAGTGGTGTCTGTTTGTGTTTTAAGCTTGATTCATAACAAGGTGAACAATTAATTCTAGCAAATATGTAATGCTTCAGGTAACTATGATATGGGCGGTTTGTGGGTTTGATGGTCATTTTAAAAAACTGAATACATTAGAAAAATGATATGAAATAGACTACAATTTTTACTATGCAGCACTTCTCCTGGCTGGAAATATATCTTAATCTAAAGAGGGAAACCTATTTTATGTTTAACAGGTATAAAATCTGAATCTTTATAAGATCAATTAGCTACTCCCATTCTTAGAGGCTCTTTGTAGTCACTTAAGTAGCTGGTAGACTACATGGGTAAATAAATAGAAGGAAAAAGACAACTGAGAGCATTAAAATAATAATCCTTTCTGGAAGAAGGCTGTGGTAAGGCCATAAACACCTCTGGAAAAGTAAAAAAAAAAACCAAACAACCCAGTCCTACTCAGGGGTGCAGGGCCTGATGGTGACTGCTGGAGGAGCAGGGGCCACTCACACAACCTCTAGCAGTGGCGTAACCACATTAGCCTGCATTTTGCAGCAGGATTTTCTTCCTTGTACCCCTCACCTCCCGTCCTGTACCGCAGCACTGCTGCCCCGCTCCCTCTGGCTGTGGTGACAGAGCACCGGTAGGTACCGGCGTCGGAGAGCCGCACGTCCCTCAGTTCCAGGGAAGCATTGCCACCAATCACCTCGTCCACAAACACCGCCGTGCGGCCTTGAAACGATGCGTCTTGCTCTTGCAGGTGATCCTTCCCACCTTTAAACTCGTGAACCAGCCCAGCTACTCCCACCTTGGCCCAACGGATTGCTATGCTGCCCATCCGGATGTCAGGCTCAAAAGTGCAGCCCAGGATGCCATGCTGGCCGATATTCCCGGGAGACGTCAGCACTGTCACACTGATGGAGCGTTTTCCTGCAAGGAGAAAGCAAGGCTGCATGAGAAAGGTGAAGCAGTGAGCACCAAGAAAGGCTGGACTGCTCCGCAGAGGGACACCAGCCCCAGCCGGCTGGCACGCACCAGCCCCAAGGCTGAACAGGGACCGGCACGTCGCAGGGGCACCAGTAACAGCTACCAGTGCTGCTAACAGAGGTCAACTCTCATGGCTTATATACCAAGATAAAGTACAGGAGTATTTCTTTAACAGGCAGTCTGCTTCAAAAAGTAGCTTCTCATATTTGTTCCAGGAGAATTAGCATGGTGTTTTCTTGCTTACTTATATGTATCAGGGATTCTTCTCTTTACAGCTGCCAGAAGAGCATGATTTTTGTGTCTTTTCTTAGTCAGGACCTCCCTTTATGCAATATATATGCGATTGCAAGGCATAATGCTGGCAGAGAAATGAGGCTGCTCTTTTACCCTTACTGGAATCCAGACTGTTTTCTTTCATTTAATAAAAGTCAGCATTTCCCTTCCCTGGGGACACAGATCATTTCTCAAGTCAAATCCTAACCAGCGAGCTTGAAAATTAACTGACTCCTTCCCAGAGCTGGGTCCTCTTTCCTGAGCAGCCCTTCCCAGCGTGTCCTCACTCAGCACGCCCAGAGGAGTGTGCATTTTGGCCAACACCAAAGCAACACATTTTTACCATCTCTGAGGAAGCAGGGGAATGTGCTCCATCCTGGCAGATGCTGCCCAGCTTCTCAATAAATACCATCGTCTCCTCCCATCTGGGAGAAGGAGCACAGTATGTTCAGGACTTTCTGTAAGCGTAGGTTTAGGGCTCCAAGCCCTAGGAAATTTCAGCACTATATCTCCAGCAGCACAGGCTGCACTACACTTATCAACCCCTTGCCTCAGCTGGATTCCCATGGAACAACAAATGGAGTGGAACGTTTCAGTTGCTAACATGCCAGATAAGTAAAAACAAACAAACTAAAGCCTTAATTTCTGCTGTGAAAGCATAGGCCAGGAACTCACTTCCCAGGGCAAAATGGAGCTGCTGCACAGCAGCGGGGCTCACGCCTGCACAGCCACTGCTGCAGCCTGGGGCCAGTCCGCTGACAAGTTTTTGTGGAAGTTAAGATTCGATGCAGATTTCCTCGCTCGGCTCTGAGTGCCAAGTGCTTGTGTCTTCTAACCCATTCTGAGCATGTGTGTGTGTGTATATAAATATCTGCATTATTTAAAACCTACAACAGCTCACAGTCTCCACGGAGAGCACAGCTCCTTGTGTTTTAATACCACAGAGCGATATCTTGTTGAGAAAGGCCAGAACTGAAGTCACCTGTGCAGTCTCAATTCAGCCAGCTGGCACACAAGCATTATAAACCGAGCTTTTGTCAAAAGGTCGTAGGTGGCACTTCCATACAAGATCACACCTCAGCCCATGCACAGGATGGAGACACGGAGGTAGTGGCAGGGCAGAAGTTCATCACCCCACCAGTAACAGCAAGAAATCTGAGCAGTCACATACCTGAGACACCAAAACCGATGATCAGGGCAATCACCGCAGCCAGGATGATAATGACTGTAGTCATGCTATGGGGGAAAAAAGAAAGGATGACGTTACCACACAGCCCACCTCCTTTCACACCCTGCACCTACAGTGTACGTCTGCAGAGCCAGCGGCAGGAAGGAGGTCGAGGTGAGGCGGGTAAGCTGCAGACATAGAGCAAGGTGGACTGGTGAAGTGCATGACCACGGTAGTGACAAACATTTGGGTGAGCACTCATCATCAAAGGTGGGGGACCAGAAGGAAAGGAGACCCAGGTTTTGTCTTTGGGAGGAGGCAGTGGGTCCCAGTGGAGGATGCTGCTCTCTGCATCCTCTGGTGTATAAGCGAGCCAGGTAGTCCCTGCTGGCCCTTGTGAGGGGACCAGTTGCCCAGGGAGGTGAGAAGAGCACTGAGCAGGCCCCTGACCCCTGGAAACACCTGGTACAAGCCAGGGAGCGGGCAGGATGGGGCTGGAAACAGGGCCATGTTTGTGAGCTGGTCGGATTTGGGATGCTCATGATCAGATGGATAAGAGGCTGTTGAATGAGAGGCTGAGGAGGAGAGGATCACTTGCCAAGCCACACAGGCAGAGCAGCCCCGGCAGAGGAGGTGACAGGCAGCATGGCACGGAGCAGCACAGCTCGAGCCTTGCCGAACAGGACCCGTCTCCGGCACAGCCACGGCTTGGACAGACCCATGAGTGTGGCTGGGAGCAGGCTCCCACCACAGCCAGTGGATCTGTCACACGTGGTCCTGGGCACATTTCCATGTAGACTGGCGGGTTGTGGCAGTGACCTCAGGTACCCACCACAGCAAGCCCTGAAGCAGCTGCTCACAAAAACCCACAGGCACATCCCAGGCCAAGCAGCTCACGTGCTCATGACCAACAGTTTCACAGGCGTGCTCGCCTCAGCCCTCTCAGGACTGCCAGAGGAGAAGCCCAGAGAGCTGCAGGAAGTCCCCACAGGGGACTTTACCCCATTCCCAAGCCCGGCAGGGTGCTGGAGGGAGCTGTGCTGCAGGAGGCACGGGCACCAATAGTGGCCACTCCACATCAGCGTCTGGGGCTGCCAGCCCAGGGCTTGTTTTGCCCCGTTGTACACAGAAAATCTTGAGCTGCTGCTTCCCATCTCATCCCCAGGCAGGACAAGGCTGCAAGATGTCACGGCCCTTCCGCCTACACAAAAATAGCTGTTCCGCTTCAGTGTTGTTTGCCGGCTTGCAGCACGCTCTTTCCCAACATATTGGGCAGCCTCCGGCACGAGAGCCCATCGACATATGTGCAACCGCAAACTTCTCCCACCATTAACATGTGCCTGCATCAGTTACTTGCACAATCGTGCCTCAATCATCGCAGATGCCATGATCACAGGGCTGACAGGGAGCTCTAGGGAGTTGCACCATGTGAACAAGCCACTCCTGCAGGGAGTAGCAGGGAAGGGAGAAAGGGAAGATGGGTTGAAAGAGGGGATGGAGAGGAGGGGAGATGTTGCAGAAGGCTTGCTTGCCCTCCCACTGTCTCCCTTCCATACATATCCTTAAAGCCAATGGAAAGTTGTCTGAGGAAGCCCTGTCTGCACATTCCAGCATGCTTAGGAGAGGGATCAGAACCGTGTATTTCACCACAAGTATGCGATAAGTTGATACAAAGGTTCATACAAGTCCATATATACATTCACATCCATACCAAGCCCTCCCTGCCTAGATGCCCTCAGAGCTGGGAGGTGTCACATGTTTGGCTTCCTCCCTGTCCTCACCAGCTTTCACTCATGACCAGGGTGGACAGAGGTTGTCCACCTGCCCCCTCTGGGTGCCCTGCAGCTGAGGTCACAGCTGACCCTGTTGGGGAGGAAAGCGGTGGATATTCTCCAGCCGCAGGCATTGCGCAGCTGGGGACCCACCACCAGCCACCGCCTCCCCTGGGAGCCTGTGGGATGGGGATTTCGTTTGTTGGCTCACGTGGATCCCTCAGCATGACAGCTCCCAGCAAAGACTTGTCACATCCCATGGGGCTCAACACCAAGTCACTCGAGATCTCAGCCAGGCTCATCGTGGGACAACCCTGTGCTCTCCTATTCCAGGGCAGATACCAAGCCTCTTGCATATGCTAATAACATCTGCCTCCTTGAGGAGCTCCACCAATTTCTATGGAGCTGATCCCAGAGCGAGATAGTTGCTATAAACTCAGCCAAGGTCGCCATGAGCAGCCTCAGCTCTCACGCCTGGGAAGCGCAGAGCAAGCAGCAGCCGTGCCGTGTTGTCACATAGCAGCTGTGACTCACCTTCACCCCCCTATATTAAAAAACTCCTTCCCAGGAGTGGACAGGGAAGAGATTGCTGGGAGCCGAAGGATGCTGCCTGTGGGTTACAGATTTCATTGGTAAATGCCGGAGGGTGTATGGCAGGGGACAAGCAGCCAGGACGCCCTCCCATACAGTCCCTGAACACTTCGGGTTCCACCACACTTGCCTCCAGTCCTCGAAAGGACCCTGTGGCCTGAACACTGCCTCTGCCCTAGCACTCTGCTGGGAAAAACCATCCTCAGCTCGCTCACAGGCAAACACAAACCAGCACAAACAGGCCAGCACCAAAGCTTTTGTCCCCTGCTGGTGCCACCTGCCCCCATAGCTGCAAAGTCTTGCTAGCTTTGCATCCAGAGAGGTGCTTCCCACCCCTGGCAGGGTGGAAAAAGCCACTCCTTTGTTACAGGGCAGATGGCAATTTTGGGTACATGGATGCCACCGCCCACTTCAACACCCCTTCCCAGGGACAAGGAGAAATCAGGCCCTTCTTTGCAGTTTCCTCTGCAGAAACTGTGAGATCCAAGAATCACAAGGGCCTTAAAAATATTTGCCTGCGAGACTCCTGTGCATGTTGAGGAAATCTGGAGTGCGGGGGCGAACAAGAGGAAGCTGGCAACCCAACCGCATGCTGACGGTAGCTGTGTTTCGCAAGAGTCCAGTCCAGCAGTTCAAGTGAAAAGCAATTTTCTGTGCATCAACACCTCTCATATACCCAGCGTTTCAGAGACATGGAAATAGATGGACGCAGACAGCTGGAGCCACAAAAGTCAGAGCCCTGACACCACCCTCGGTTCCTGGCGCCGCTTCAGCAGCCTGCGGGATGCCTCTCTGTGCATCCTATCCTCTTTTCCATGGTCCCATTCCTGATCAGCCAAATGGAATTTGGCATGAAATTCATTAATTCCCCACCTGAATGCTGCCAAGCACAGCCCAGGGACAGAGAGAGGCTTGCGCCCCTCTGCGACAGGCGGCAGAGGCTTAATCCTCCTGATCTCTAGCTCCACTCAGAGTAAGCTTCCCCTCAGCAAAGGGCTTAGAGGTGTGAGGGTCAAAAAAGCTGGAAAATTAAGAGATTTAAGGTCCTTTGCCTTCCTTCTTATATCAAAGCTCACTGTGGAAAAGAAATAGCATGGGCATGGCAGGGGTAACCCAAAAAGTAGAGCTTTCCATTCCAATGAGCAGTTAATGATTGCAGAGCTCAACTTTTCTCAGCACTTCAGTTTTATTTTTTTAGTGTTTGGGGTTTTTTTTACCTAAAATCAATAAAAACCTCCCACTGCCCCTCTGAAGCTTCCTGGAAAATTCACCCCTCTCTCTGGGCTATTTCTGCATTTCAAGATTAGCCTGAAGAAGCCAACGTCCTTGAAGAAGCCTGCTGCTTCCAATGACCTGCTGCCGTCTGGCTGCATGCAACCGCCCGGGGCAAGCAAGGGCGCTGGCAGAGCCGAAGTATGGTTCTGAGAGCAGCAAGGGGTAGGCGTGCATTTTTTCACACCCATCAGTTCTTGCACTTCCCTGACAAAAGCCAGCTGGGCCGCCTCTTGAGAGTAACAGAGCTGGTTATTACATGCATTCCAGACGCATGAGGGATATGATACCCAGTGGATATTTACACTGTGTTACATCATTATGTCTGCTAGTTACTTCACTTTTGTCAGTGAAAAGGTACAGATAATATTACTTTTTAGCACTTCATTGATGGCCCATGTGAGAAAGCTGGAGCACGGCTCATGCATGAGAGGTCTCTTCTGTTCATGTGTGGACTGTCCTTCTCGCTGTTGTTCAGCTCAGGTGGGACAGATACTCATAACAGCTGAAACCTTTTTGACAGAATAAATGCAAGCAGGGATGTCTAACACACCTCACTGGAGCCTCTGCCTCTATCCAACCTGGGAGAGCCCACACTTGGGATGAAGAGATGTGGCTTGTTGGTGGTTCTGTTCAAGCAGTCAGGTTTAGATGTAAGCCTGGTCCACATTCATTGGAGGCTGAAGCAAGTTTGCCAACCAATTTAGCAATCCGGTGGGGGTTATTTTCAACTGATCAGGAGATAAGGATATGAAGTACATATTTTTATGGCCTTCCCCACAATACTTCTTTTTCTGACTCTAGCTCACCAGGACTTGGTCAGTATCTCCAAAGGAAAGAGTCTCATTGAAACAGGCACAAACCAGCTTGCACATCTTCCCAGCTCTTAGTCCTGGCCCACACAGTGTGGAAACATGCTGTAGGACAGCTTCTGCCTTTCTCCCCACAGCACAAAGATGTGACAGAGGCATAAACAACTGTCTGAGGGACAGCAGCACTAAAGCCATTGATACCCCAACGTACCACAGCAGGAACACAGAGCCTTTCTCGAGCCATCAATACCCTGACCTACAACAGCATTCAAACCTGAAGTGGCATATTCCAGCCATGCAGAGTTTCTAGGACACACATCTCCATCCTGGCTGCAGTTGATGACCTGCACATGGGTGTCTGACAGCTACATGGCCTTACTGATTGTATAAAAGAAGCTGTACTGGTATTTAAGTAGCTTTGGTGAGTGCAGTATAGAGTCAAGCTGCAAAGAACTGGTGTCTTGAAAGCTCCTGGCAGCAGGGTGATACAGCCGAGGAGTCTGAAAAATGCAATTCCCTCCCTCCTCTCTCCCAAAGCAGATGCAGATAATACCATACCTCCAGAAAATGACCTGGCCTTGGGATGCCATGGTCACAGCACCTACGAAGACAAGCCAAACACCAGGTGCCAAAAGGTCCCACACTGTTCAGCACAGCCACTCTCCTTCGCATGATATATTCTCCCGGGCTGTCCTGCTTAAATAACTGAACACAGCTAAGGAGTGGTGAGCCCAAGCAGTGAACTCTCAGGAATGAGGAAGCAGTGAGCATCTCAGCTCCCCCCACCACGCTAGTCAAAAGCAGGGAGGCCTGGTGAGTCACCGGGCAACAGGAGAGAACAGGAGAGACCTCCTACACCAACCATTAAATAAACATGTCTGATTTAAAACAAAAAATAACACAGCTCATCATTTGGTAGCCAGCTAATCCTGGGCCAGACTGTAGCAGTCTCCCATGTAGATCCACAGCTCGCCCATCACTGGTGGGTTGCATTATATCCAGGACTAGCTCAGGTCTCCTTGCTAAAATCTCCAATCACGTTGTTGGCACTGGGCGAAGTCCCACCTGCACGTCCCCTTCTCAGCCCCATCAGCAATATGCATCTTCCCCTCCCTCTCTGTGCTGTGCTAAGAGGCCCCTCCAGGCTCAGCAGTGCTGTCAGGGCCACACAGGTTTGGCAGTGGCATCTTTTCTACTGCTGTTTTCTTCCTCTGAACTCCTCCAGACCAAACTGCTTCTACTCCCCAAGGCCAGCTCCTGCTGCTCTCAGATCTGCCATTACAGTGGACATCAGAGCACGTAATGGAAAGAAACCGGCACAGACCCTGCAAGCCTTTTCCTCTGCGCTTGGTCTCACTCAAGGCTGGGGCAGGATGAATAGCTCTTGGGCATAAGAGGTTGAGGAGGTCAGAGAGATTGTGAAACAGCAGAAAAGAGAAGGCAGCTTGTACCACCATGTTCAGTTTCCCGAAGGGGAACCTGTGTATCCTGTCATCTATGTTTGGACTGCATTCCAGGGAGGATGGGGAAGCGGGAATTTTTGACAGTTCATAGTCACCTCCAGCAAGTTTGGATGATTAGAGGGAGCAAAGAGCTTTCCCATGCAGAGCTGAGGATGTCCAGAGGAACCGGGAACAGTCAAGCACCTAAGAAAAACCAAATTACTTGATCTGCAACAACCAGAGGTTAAAATCAAGACCAGCTGCAAAGGCTGAATAGGGTTCAGGAGGGCTTACGATGCCCTGAGGGGCACAGCAGCCTTCTAACTGTGCATGTGCAAGATTTCAGAAGCGTGGTCTTAGTCTTTTGGGCCACATTTCAACTGCAAAGGAGCCTGTTCACCTCTACAAGGGATGAACATAGCCAGATGTGGTGCATGACACATAACAGGCTTTTCTAGATAGCAGAGAGGGGGATGGAAGGGGCTTGTGCAGGCACCAAAGTCAGCAAACTGTAATCCAAGGCATTTAGCACCCAGGACTCACCACTTCCAGCCTCCTGATGCCAGGGTGAAGTTACACATCACAACTTGTGTTGAACCTCCTCCCATGTCCCACCACCTTGCACTGATGAAAGCACAGTTCTGAACCTCCACTAAGCTTAGTCACCTGTTAGGAAACAAAGTAAAATTAGAAAGCAAATGGTTTCCTTCTGGGTTAGGGAATTGACTCCCCATGTGGTGAGAGGAGTGTCAGTGAAGCACCCAGTGATGCTTCTGGTGGGGCAGGACCGCATGGCCTCCAAGGACAGAGGAGCCAGGGTGAGACCTTCTGCTTTCAAGAGTGACTAGGCATTGGGTTTACTCAGCCGTTCCAATGAGATTGCTCAACTGTGAAGCTAATCGCTCTCCGGGTAGAGGAGCTACCTGAACGCTCTGTGCAAGGTCTATGGCAGGGGTGTGAACAGGACCTACTGCTAGCACTGTGATCTTGGCTGTTACTGAAAGCACGTCCTTCATCCTCTGGCCTCTAAATGAAACTTGAGTGGAAATCTTTCACCTGAGAATCACTGTCGCTCTTTGGTTGTTGCAATGGTTTAAACTTATAAAGCAGACTTTATATGCTTTTCACTTCCCCTCTCCTTTAGCATAGAACAGCGCTTTTTAATCTGAAAAAAAAAAAAAAGAATTCTGATTTATTTTGTAGCGTTCTACTGATTACTAAAGCTCTCGTAATTTAGCAAAGTATTACTAGAAGCTAAGCTCCAGGCCATAATGGCCTAGTGGGAAATACACATTAAGAAATATCCTGTTGCCCTCAGTGACACCTGATTTATGGCTGCCTTCCGTGCAGTGCACAAACGAGGTGTCCCCTTTCAGCACCAGTTAACTCCGGGTTGTAGTTGCAGCACATCTCACTGCACAATGACTGGCTTACTTCCATGTTGGAAAAACAGGTCTGTTTCTCAGGTACAGGCAGCCCTGGTAGGACCAGAGCAAGTCCCACTCATCAGGGTAGCAACACATTAATTACTGAGCAGCTCTCATACTTGAGAGGTAAAAACAAGAGGTATTCAGGATATTTCCCAAAGAAATCAAGGGTCTGTGACCACATGGTATGCCCAGCTCTTAGCACTTTTGAATCTATTAATGAAATCCAGGATCTGGTGCCACACAGTCTGTGAAAGCTGGTGAGCACCTGGAGAAGAGAGACATCAGCTGCTTTGACTGCCTTGAGGGGAAGGCGACAGTAGACACAAAGCTTTATCAGTTTTGCTGGGGCCACCAGCTGGTGGCCCAGAGCTGGACACAGCATGTGCTGCCTCTCATCTGCATGAAGGAACAGTGGGGCAAGAAGGACTGAAGGTTGGTCAGGGCTCAAGAGGATCTTCAGTGGTGCAAGAGAGGCACAGGCACAAGAACCAGACTGCAGTCACTCTACCTTTCATTAGTTGTTTCTTTCTTCACAAATAATAATTCTGTCAGAAGAGTTCCCTTACTTACAGGAAGTCCATGCCTTATTTCAGAGTCACTGGAAAGCTGAAGGAGCTATCAGCAAAGGAGAAGAACCAGGAGAAGATGGAGTTATGGTAAGCTGACAAGCAGCCACATTTGATAGAGTGCTCAAGAGAGGTGAAGCCAGCGAGCAGGCTGAAAAAGATGAAAGCTATCCTTGGGATTTGGCCAAAAATGTTGGACACCTTTCTGGCCTCGTGCTCCCACATCTGTAACAATGGTGTCAAGAGGTGCTTGAGAAGCACTGGAAATGGGAACACTAATGGTCCCACCCAGAAGGCTGGAAGGATGAGAGCCTGGCATTGCCTTTTCAGATCTACCTGTCCTTGGCCTCGCCTGCCCTTGAAGGGGAGCTGGAGGCAGAAGCACTCAGATCAAGCCCTCATCTCTGAAAACAGGGAGGTGGTGAGCCACCCTTGGCTGGAAATAGACAAATCCCCCTACGCCGCCTGTGGGCCACAGTCTTGACATGACAGCCTGGATGGTCAGTGCACCCTTGTCAACCATTTCCTGCTGGGGGAAGGCCAAGAAGCCCTGGTGAGTCAGCTTCCCCACTGCTCCAGCGGTCTTCTGGGGACACACTCATGCACAGAGCTGCATGTGCAGCTGTGTCATCAGTGTGGTTTGCCTCCTCTGAGAAGGGAGAGAGACCCTAGTGTGATGATACCTGACTCTAGAGGCACCCTACATGGAGTCTTCCAGGCTGCAGGGCACCTTCCAGGTTTTCCACAGTCTCTTGTTCTTGCTTCCAGCCACTCTGTTTTCCCTATCTAGGGAGTAAGTCCTCCTTCTCCTGCATCCCACAGCCCCTCCTCACATTCATCCCCATTTTTTTATTTTTTTTTCAAACTTTGGAGACAGGCAATTTTATCAGCAAGAGCTTTTGTCCTGGGAAAAATATCAATATTTACATGTGCAGTCTGTCAGCACTGCATGTATGTCTGTCTTGAAAATACCTTTGTTATCTCAAGGACCAGCTGGTCAGAAATAAGATCATGTAGCCCAGCAGACTAACTACACCTCCTTATCCACCATTTGCCCCAGGCCGATGACCAACAGAACATGGGAAGCCATTCCTGGGAATGGCTGTTGGGGACCAGTGTGAGACTCCAGCAAATCAGTAGGATATATTAATTCGGCATAGCATTCTGAGTCATGAACACTGAAGGCAAAGTCTGCTTGCAAATAATGGGAAGACACTCAAACCTAACCCCCACAAAGTGACTAAGGTAATTAAATTTCTTTTCTGCACATGATTCTTCAAGTTATCCTCATGCATAGTCCTCTTTGCCCAAAAAAAGAGTGGTAGCCGGTCAATACTTTATAATCCCTGGGACTGACTGAGCCTTCAAGTCTACAAAAAAAAAAAAAAAAAAAAAAAAATTCAAAATAAGGGCCTGACCCTGGCAGGATTAGTACCTCATGCTGTCCGAAAACTGCTCTCCTCATATCAAACATAGAGCTCAGCCCAAGCTCACTGCAGTTCCCTATAGGGTTTATATGTTCACTGGTGCAATTCTTACAAACAGCTTCTTGGAAAATGTCAGCGACAGGGTGTGTAAGGGATGCCTAACACAAAGAGAAAACACATTCCTCTGTCTGAGAGGACTAAGATGTTTTTAGACAGCAATTATGTGCCTAGAAGGTAGTGCCATCCTTATGTGTTCCCTCTGCAACACAGCATGGAAGCTCTTGAGAAAAAACAAACAATGCACATGTAGGGGGTAGGGGGACAAGACACAGAAGAACACAGAAAATGAGGCATTTCATTTCACATCACATTCTGTACCAAGCACTGACTCTCCACATAGCATGGACAAGAATGAGTTACTGTTTGATTCATTAAAGGTTAACTCAAATTAAACTTTCACTTTGAAATTTCAGAGTCCGCAACTTGGAGACTTAAATTGCCTAACTTGGAGATTTAAACTGCCTAACCTTCCCTGGTTTGTTTGACAGCCCTTTCTGGATGATTAATGGAAAGCTATAAACAGCATTTGCGTATCTATCTCCTTTGCTGGGAAGAAGTAGTTCCAAAACTGGCTTTGTAAGAGGAACGAACAAATGAGAATCTTCTAGGTCTGAGCAAACAGACAGCACAGGTTTCTACTATTTACAAGCCAGCTATCATCAGCCAGAAAGCAAGAACCAGTCCTTACTGTTGACACTGGAGCAGCATTCCTCTCCCCAAATGACCAACAGTCAGACTTTTGTCCCCAGCTCCCCAGGCAGTATTAGGAGCCCGCAGCAACACACACCTACTAGCAAGGTTACCTCCAGGGCAGTAGCGTTCCCAGTCTCAATGACACAAATGTGTTTTGTTCAGGAAGGTATCCAGGGTGCCTGCTGCACCCAGGCAAGCGGCAGGCAGCAATCAGCAGGTTAGCAGCTGCCCTTCCAGTAAAGTGCCTCTTCCTCCTCATCACAGATGCCATTTCCCCAACTATGGGTTGGCAGCATGCGTACAAGCCCAGGAGATACATCCCCCTTCCCCTATGGAAAAAGGGATGAGTTCTCCTTCCAAAAACAGTGTCTTGCCAAGACTGCACAAGCCAAATCCAGTTTTGCTGTATTCCCTCTCCTTCTGCCACTCTTGCCTAGTTGCCCCAGTTCAGGACAGACACCTGCAAACTTGTGCCTATGGCTCCTACCGATGCTCAAACTGTCCACTTCCCTTGGTCAGCTGGGTGCTCCTGCATCACCCCCAGCAGTGCTATGTCCCACACCATCTCCACGAGAACTTACAGACTGGGTGAATAACATTCTAATTCCTGTTCCCATCAGCACCATGGCTTTTCCTTGGATTTCCTTCAGATATATTACTAACCCGCCTTGCTCTTCCTTTGCAGGGAGGGTGTAAAGAGACTACAGCTTACTCGGAGCAAATAGAAGAGCTGCGAACACAACAGCAGCTCCCAGGAGTGTGACTGTGCTATATGCACCGCACATCTAACAGGGAGGCAGAAGCCATATTCAGGCTGCCAAGCCTTTCCAAGGCACAAACACAAACCCTTTGGAATGTGCCCCAACAAGCAGCTTTGGCCTCTTCAAGGACAGCAGAGACTGTTGATCCTGTAGAATGAGACACATCTTGACCCCCCTGTGAGGTAACTGCTCAGATTGAGTTTCCCCTTAGAGCCTGACCTCACAGGCCTTGAGTCCTTGAAAGTGTAAGCACTCAGTGTTTGCTCCTGTTCAAGCACAAAACAACTTTGCATACACAGCTCCAGGTGGTATATAAGGCACAATTTTATTTTCCCTCATTCCTCTTTCTGAGTTCGCACCCATCACAATGTTGTTTTCTGGCAGCAAGGCTATGCATGGGGATCCTCGTGGTCTGTGCTCATGCAGCAGCCAGTAGCAGTGCCCTGGGCTTACAGGGGCTCACCTGGCTGCTCACAGCACCACTGTCCTGAGGAAACTCCTCTGTGGGGTGTTGCTGGGAGGCCCTCCCAAACACTCCGAGCTCTTCTTCACTTGTCCACAGCACGACCAGTGTGGGCAGCCAGGGTGACCTTTGTGTCCGTGGCCACAGCCTTGGTACCCACCTGCAAGAGAAGAGGCAACCAAAAGTGGGCCAGAAAATCCCAGTGTGTCAGAGGCTTTCAGAGAGTGCTTCAGCCCCAGTACTTCTCTAAGATGGGGAGTCATGCACTGATGAGAGCACAGCATATTAAAGGCCAAAATTACCAGGGCTCTTTAAAGAAAGGAGAACCGCAGAGGGGGACCTCCCTGTTCCAGTCACTGGGGAAAGCTGAAGACTTCCATCCCCTTGCCTATTGAGTAATACAAGACACAGGCCTGCAGAACCCTGTGCCAGCCACTGGTGACTGTGGCCGGAGCTAGATACAGATCGAGCACAGAAAAAGGAAGAGAATGGTTCTACACTAAAACATGCAAAACACACAATGACACATGCAGGTTAAGGACAGGAAAGCTAGTTGGGATTAAACAAATAAGGGAGTTGAATTCTTGTCCTAAATGAGGAGTGAGGCTTTTCCATAGGACAGCATTGGGCACTGTGTGACACAGCCCAGACGTTCCCAACATGCCAGCACTGGAACAGGAACAGCATGGCCACAGTGCTGCTTAGCCTCACTGAGAAGTGTGGGGAAAGCTAAGCACTCACCTGGCATGGTCCCCCCACAGGCACAGCGAGCAGCCTTCTGCCCTCCGCTTGAGCAGAAGGTGCAGCAGTGAAACACTCCTTGGTGCTCAAGGAACTTGTTTTTCACCATCAGAGTGAACGGAGAGCCCTGCAGAGGACAAGCAAGCAGAGAGACTGCTGCAGTGGATGCTATCAGATGTTGTGTTTGCATTTCCAAAAGCCAACCGAGTGATCCTGTCAGTCACAGACCACTAAGCCCAGTCTTAAACTGCTAAGTGGTAGAGGCAATCCTTAGAAAGATTTGAAGCAAACGCTTAGAAAAGAAAAGCAGGTAAAGAAGAAGCAGTGCAAGAGAAACAAGAAATGCTACCTGTACATGCTGCCCTTTCACATAGACGCAGACAGTATACAAGCCTGGCTCCTCAGGGCTGTAGGAAATATGGTAGGTCCCATCAGCGTTATCACACACTGTTGGCTTGATTGCGCTATGAACAGAGAGAAGTCGAAGAGGTTGGTGACTGGCAGAAAATTGCTCTACATGTGAACCACCGCTTGGTCTAGATTTGTGGTCAGCTCCTTATCCTCAGCCTTGTTCAGCAGCTGCAAGTCTTAAGCAAGCTTAACAGGATGCACGAGCAATGCTCAAGCATTGAGTAGCTTTCACACACATCTGCTACTGGGAGCTGCAATAACCATACAAAGGAAGTCACACAAAGCTAGCTGCACTGCAAGGATTTGTAGCAACCCTAAGCGCTGAAAGTGCAGAAGATGACAGACAGCACACTTGCAGGTCAGATTATCCCATCAGATAAGAGCCCTCAGAAATGAGGTAAATTCACAGCTTCAGAGAGCAGTTACCTCCAGAAGAGCCCACAAATAAGACAGGACATAAAAAGGGCAGGTTTGAATCACTTTAACCACTGTCCCAAATTCAATGACCCCAACCCTTCTTTTCAATGCTCTGAGGAGTTCTAGGTCTCCGCTGGTAAACTCTCCCTTTCCAAAGTGACGCTCGCTGAATTTCACACAGTGCAGAGAGAAAGCATCAGCTAGTTACTTGGGACTGATTTCCTGCTTCACAGGAAGATGGAAAGAGCTTTCCACAGACAATTATCAGGCAGCTCTGCATAGAGAAAGGTGTTCTTCCTAATCCCCGCTAATTAGTCTCTTGTGCCCCATGACATGACAATTTATAATCTTCCAGATTTGCAGGCTGTATTCCCCACCCCCCACCATTTAACATCAATGCAGCTGCTTACATCATTTCCTGCCATGAACTGTGCGGTGATACTTCACCCTCTTCTGTAGCTGCTGTGCCTCAACCCAAAGCCAGAAGGCTTTCAGCAACGGATGTAGCAATTGCATACATGCAAGAACAAGACATTGAGTTAATGTGGCCACAGCGACCTCTACCCTACCAAACAAAACCTGCATAATCCTCGTGTGCGCACCTTCCTACATCGTATGAGCACGTAAGGAAGGAAGGTACACTGGAGCAATATTCTTGAACAATGATGCTCGATTGATAAGCATCTGTGCACTGTGCACCAGCACTGTTTCTGTACGCCCTGTCAACACTTCCCCATAGCAAGGAGTTTTAGCATCCTGTCTCTTTTTTCATCAGGTCATCCCACCAAGAGCAGATCCTGGAACAAGTTAGACTGGCATCTTGCTCCAGCTGCATCATATGTGCTAGAAAACCAAATAGATGTTTTTCTTAAGAACTGACCTCCAACTGGTTCTGCATTTGTGCCTGGCTGCTTTATAGTACCAAGTGTGGCCTGCAAACAGTTACAAAATCATTTTTTCTGGTTGGTCATTTTCATTGTGGAAATACTTAGAAGCTTAAGTGTGATCTTCCCTGCTTTTGCTAGAAAACCTCTGAGCATGTTAAAGTGCTCAACACTTGTAACTACAGGAGAAAACACGATGAAGTCCTGACACAGATTCTTTCTCCAGAACATGAACTAAGCACTTAACTGCCAGAGACTCCTGGGCTTGGTGGACTGTCTTGTCTGACTCAGGACAGCCCTTCTGGGTTGCTATGCTTTACGCTCATTAGGTGTTAACAAAAGCAGGAGCCCTGGGTGTCTATTGGTAGGGGTGGGAAGCAGCCACAGCTCACTCTGACAATGTCTAACACCCACTGAGAGCTCAATCCTTTAAGAAGTCCCAAATCACTGAAAGACTCAACACAAATCTGAGCCAACACCGTCAAGCTCCACACAGCCAAATACAACCAGTGGGAAGCCCTGCTATACCAGTGGGAAGAATACTAGTGCCTTTTCCCCTACAGATTCTGACCCACATGCTGAAGCATGTCCTCCCACCTGCCCAAACAAGGAGGGAGCCACGGTAAAGGAGGCAGAAAGGCAAACCCAGTGACCGGAGAGTTCTCAGGTGAAATACCCACCAGTCTCTCTTGTCCTTGTGGGTGATGGTGACCCACACGGCCTCTCCTCCTCGTCCCATCCGCTCCCCCGTGGTGTCATTGCAGAGCAGGGTAAAGCCAGTCAGCTGGTTCTGACGCACACTGTGGAGATCTGTAAGGCAGAGAAATAGGACCAGAAAGGATTCACACCAGCCATGACTGCCACCTCCCACCTATTTTGCAGTGTTGCAGTCCCATCAGAGCACAGCCAGGACTTTGCTGGTGGGGTGTAAAGCTCCTTCCGCTCACAGGGAAAAGTAAATATATGACTGGGGATCAGGAGTGAGTGCAGTCATAGGTGCCAAGAGATGTTGGGCAGGCTTAGCCTGGAGGTCTGTATGCACCAGGGTGGTCTTCCTGCCTGCCCCTCTGAGCCCATCTGACATCTTCCCAGAAGACCTCAAGGTGCACCATGCAATCAGGAGGGAAGACAAACAGCCCTACTGTGCAGTGTGGAGGCCCAGAGACCTTGGCACTTACAGTTTGGCATGGAAGGTATCAAAGGAATTCTGGGTCTGTCTCATCCGCCCTGTGCAGGCCATTACTGAACTCTTTGTTGGCCCTGCTCCACATCCTTAGTAAGCAAATACCCATGAAACCATTGATGCCAGTTATTCCTACGGCAATCTCAGCAGAAGCTGTAAGGGGAATGAACCTACTTGCTCAGCCACAGAGGGGATTCTGCCTGGGCCCATGCACAACAGCTGGGGCCACTGGGAGAGCATCATGTCCTGCCACTGCAGGCACCATTCTTATCCTGAGTAAGCTGGCCTTGGGCCTAAGGGTTCCTCTCCTCACACCTCAGCCCCACGCTGAGGTCAGTGATGTCGCAGAGAGCGGCTCCAGTATGCTCTGTACATCTGGACGGGGATAGGTCTCTGGCTCCCTGCCCAGCACGGCTCCCATAGGCCCTCAGCAAGCAATGCAGCCTCTGGCAGGACTCCACCTCTGCCCCTAGTCAACGCCGGGAGAGCAGGGAGCCAACAGTGCCCTAAGCTGCACACCACGTGGGTACAGAGAACGGAGAGGTGACTTCAGGGAGCAGTGCGTTCCCTTTCAGCTGTTGTACAGCACCCCATTACCTTCCCCATGCAGGGTACATCTGGCTGGATCAACCACTTTATTGAGAATGGCCCCAAAAACTTCATAGCCGCAACACTGCCCTGCCTTCTCACGGGGAGAGAACTGGATCCCATCGTCCACGCTGGGGTGGGTGTTGTAAGCAATGCTGTTCAGCTTTGCCAGCCGGCTCGCCACCACGCCTTTGGTGATGAGGATCTCCAGGTCCGAGCCGCTTGTCAGCAAGCGCTCTGTGAACTCCACGCCTGTCCTCATGTCCAGCAGCAGCTGCTGCAGCTGAGCCTTCTGCAAGTGCAGTAGGTTTTCCTTCTGCACCTTCAAGTTCTCCAGCTGCTTCAGCAACCGGTCCCGGTGTTCTTCAATTGCTTTCACATACCCACTGGCAAACAGACAGATCTCTGTGGCCACAGCCTCTGCGCGACTGCGGACAGCACTGCCCATGTCATCAATCTGGCTCAGCACATCCTCGAGGGCTCCCGTGTGCTGCTGGGTGCTTTTCAGCAGCTCCCGCAGGGCATCCCCATGCCTGTGGATGACATTGCCGGTAAAGTCATAGGGGTGCTGCCGGTGCCTGCCTGCAACGCAGTCGTGGCACACAGGCTGGTCACACTGCTCGCAGAACAGCCTTAGCTCCTCTGTGGGATGGGAAGGGCAGAAGAGAGGCTTCCCTGCCGGGCTGCAATCCTCAGTGTTCTCCAGCTCCGTCACGGCATGCGAGGCCGTCTTCTTCTGTCTCCTAGAAGGGAGCAACCACACATCACTTTAGGCATGTCAGATATGAAATGCAGACAGCCGAGACCCCTTGCAAATGCTACTCTGTACAGACTGCAAGTCACAGTATGCACCACTCCCTCCTGTCTCCACTGAAATCCACTCTGCACAAAGGGACTTGTGGTCCCCTGAGGACAAGGCTCCACACAAAAGAGGACAGCATCTGCAAGCAGCTCATTAGAGGCTGCTGTCAGGCTCCCTGCATGCAGTCAGCACTATTTTCAGACACAAGAATCGCATGCCCCACCACAGCCACACACAGACCAGGGAATGGGCTGTCAGGCTGCTACTGCCAGCAGCCCCTTCATGGAGCATGACAGAAGTGGGATAGTTGCAATTACCTCCAGAGCCCACTGTGACAAAGGCAGCAGGAGGGCGGTGCGCTCTGCAAAGTGAGAGCTGGCAGGAGGTGCCTCAAAACAGAGTCACTCATGGACAGTCACTTCTGGAAAAGAACGGGAGGTGCCAGGCTCCTCAGCCATCAGCCCAATGATTTTCACCAGCTCTAAATCTGCTGAGGCAAATGAGCTCTAATATTCTTTAGGGGAAAATCTAGTTCAGGCCACTGCCAGAAGATAGTCTGTGGCAAAACATTTAATATTCTGAAAGTTAAACTCCATTTCCTTCTGGCCACCAGGTTAGGTCCTGCTCAGAGGAGACCAAGGATGGGACACAAAGAACCTGTTATGACCCAGACATCCACCATGTCACAGGTGAATGGTCCACCATGTTACAGGTGCACTAGAATATATCCATTTTATGCTATTTTGGACACTGGGAGCTAGTTATTGAGCAGGATGTAAAAGCCTTCTCTCCTTCCTTGTCTCCTGCACTAATGCCTTCTGCAGGTTGCGATGGGAGCTCCAAGCCATAAGCCAAGAAATACTCCGAGGACCAAGGTCTATAGAGTTGCTCTGGCAACACAAAGCAACCTCATCACAGGGCAGGACATGGCCCTTACACTGTTGTTTTCACTTCCCACTAATTTCCCTTGGGTCCAGCACATTTTCAAAGCCTTCTAGCATTATTTGCATAACACCCTTCAAATTCACACTTCCCTGACTTCAACCTAAGACCTCTTGCTTATTCCAAGGAGCTCAACAGTGGCACTCAGATCCTTAGATATATTCACTACACACCAGGAAATAATTTCAAAATGGTTTTCCTTGGCCCTTGTTCTGCTCTGCCATCAACTAAACCAGGTGCAAGTCTGCAGATGCTAGTGGGGTAAAAAAATGGTATCAGTAAATACTGTAGGAAGCGGGTCATCGGGACAAATTTTCTACTGCTTTATACCTTCTGCAGTTATTTCTGTCAGTGCAGCAGGCTGCTATTCAAGGTCTCAGTTTATCACTCTTCAGCAGCTTGCATGGGGTATGAGGCATTAGCTAATCAGAATGGTATGCTGAAAATTACAGCCCGGAGTGGAAAGGTAACTAAGAGTCTAAGCTGTTTTATCACAGGCACCAGTATCTGCAGGGGGGCAGGGCAGCGAGGAATATGCCTCAGTTCTTTCTGGGGAAAGAATCTGCTAATCAAGTGGAAAGGAACAGCAAACGTGGAGGGAATAGGCTGAGCTGATTAACCCAGGCTGAGGCTTTCCTGGCTAGTCTTACTGAGTGTTTTTCTGACCCTGCCTGTCATCTCCTTGCTTCATAAGGCCATTCAGACTTCCTATCACTTTTCTTTCATAGTGCTGCCTGTCCTCTGCTCTGCTCAATGGCCACTGTGACCCTCTTCAGCTCCTACTTCTGTTGCAGTCACCTCTTCTTCCTGCCTTACTGACATGACCCTCTATGAGGTACAACAGCTCTCTTTTGCTGGCAGTTCTTCAGTTTTCCCGTATTCCAAGAGAAAAAAACCCTGCAATATCAGGGACACTCGAAGCAATAGTGTGACTGCCGCAACAGTGTTACTGCTGTAGGCTCCCAGCCTCACAGAAATGCTGAAAATGCACACAAGATACATGGACACAACAGTTAACAGGCAAGCACGCAGGGCAGTCATGAGGAGGCAGCAACCACAGTAGGCAGGCTTGATGTCAGGACTTCTGTTTATCTCCTTTCACTTCACCTAAGGGTGCCTTTGCACATACACATAGTAAACGTTTCTGGAGGTGGAGAGAGGCAGACGAGCCACTTAACTTCCCCATTTTCCCCTGGGAGATGTGCCTTCTCCAAAGTGGGACAGCACAACAGCGAGGCTCTTGTCCTGCTAGTACTCTACCCACACCCACGCCTGTTGGAGCACTGTCAGTCTCCTTGCCCAGTGATGCTAAACCAAGATGCCAACCAGCAAGCGGGCACCATCACAGGCAAAGGGTGGCCTGATTTTGGACTTAATGGCCTCACCTGAACAGGTCTGACCGACCTACTGCCAGCAGCTTGCCGGTCCCCACCTGAGTACAGAGCATCCTCCGGGGAGCATAAAAACCCACTAGGGACTGAAGAAACTGGAAGGCATGTGAGTTTACTGCTTTGGCTAGCTCTGCGTGGGTCCCTGCCTGCTCCACCCGACCACACGCTGCCCTCCAGCAGCCTGAGAGGAGAAGGCCGCCCCGCGCACCCCGAGGCGAGGTGGCCCAGTCCGGGCCGGGC